GAGGGGGGAGTGGAGGGAGGAGAAAAAAGAAAAAGACAGACTGACAAGGTGGCTCAGTGGGTAAAGGTGCTTACTACCAAGTCTAACCCCCCAGGAAATCATATGGCGGAAGAAGAGAACCAAGTCCTACAAGCTGTCACCTGACGTCCACTTTGCACTAAACAAGTAAGTGAATATATACTTTAAGTTTTTAAAGAAAGAAGAAACTGAGCATTGAGGATGCAGCTGAGTAGATGACTACTTAGCATGTTTTAGGCCCTGAATTCAACTCTCGGCACCGTGGAACAAGCAACTAAGTGTCTCTTGCCCCAATCATAATTCAATGGAAGAATGCTGTCTTGCATGAGCTAAGCTCAGGCACAACCCTCAGCAACCCCAAAAAAACGAGAGGAGAGAGATACTGGGTTTCTATTTCATTCACTATTCATAGGATGTATTTACACACGAGAACAGGTACAAAGCAAAACCTCTTCCTACCTACAGATCAATGGACAGAGAACAAAAGTTACAAACTTCACCCCATCATTCATAAACATAATGATTAATAGTCTGCATACTCTGTTCTGTTCCTGTTAGTAGAGTAGTAAGTAACCCAGGAGTTTCTGAACCTCAGCGATATTACCATTTTGAGCAGGTCTGGTATTTTTGGTTTTTGTTTGTTTAGCAGTGCTAGAAATGAAACTCAGGCTTTCTGCCCATAAGGTAAGCACTCCACTACTGAGCTCTAGCCCCAGACTATAATTCATTCTTTGTGGAAAAAGTTATCCTCAAACCCAAAGCAGCTAAGCACCTCTGTGCCCCCATGTAGTAAATGTAACAGTCCCTCTTAAGATATGACAACAAAAATGACTCCAGATAATAATAAATGCTCCTAAGGGACAGAAGTATCACGGGCTAAAAGCTACAGCACTAAGCCACTTAAACACAAATTTAACTTAAAACCTGTAATTCAGTTCCTCAGGATCATCATATTTAAGTGTTCGATTCCCCACAACTAGTGGCTACCAAGTAGGGTAGTGCAGATACCAAACATTTCCACCATCAAAGAAAGTGCTACTTGGACAGCACCAAACAAACCCACAATCTTAACTGGAAACTACAAATACTGAAAGAAAAAACCCTGCATATCTCACCAAAATGTAGGACTGCTCAAAAAATATAGTTCTCTACCCAGAACTAGTTATTTCACATAATTTTGGGGGCAGTACTTTTATGTTTCAACTTCTAAGTTATCTCCAACTTACATACAAAGAAATCACAATTTTATTCACAAAGTATGAAATTAACTTAAACTTCGTGGTGTCTTAGTAAAAGCATTCTTAATTATTTTCAACTACAATAATTATAACAATAAATCCCAGGTTAGTAGCTAAAACATTCGCAGTAATAAAGTATAAACAAATAAGAAATTTACTTAAACTCTAAAATATTGTCAGAAAAACAACTTAGACCAGAATTCTGAAGGTACATCGACAGCTTAGTGGTCAGTGTTTACCTTATTCTCCAGTACTCCAGTATTCTACCATTAATATGAAAATACCACACTCTAAAACAAACTTTCAAACAGTCTAATACCAATATCTAGTCTCTGGTACCATATTAAACTTTTTATGTACATTTTCTCATTTAATACTAAAATCTTTATGAGATGGATATTGTTTTGCCTGTTTATAAATGAGTAAACTGAGACTTAACCAAGTAACTTGACCAAGGTCTCCACAGCTGGTGATAGAACTGGAATGTGAACCCACCATCTTAACCAAAGTTAAGAACCCTAAGAGGACCAAGCTGTGAGATGGAAGACTTGATCACAGACACTTCACTATGACAAGTCATAGAACTGTGAACCTCAGTAGGAGCCTCTGATAATGGGGAAGCAGTTGCTTCATGATGTTCTTCTCTTACTGGCACACTGGGGCTGAAAGCACGAAGACAACAATGTCTAAGGTAATAACACAGTCTTATTTAAGGGTATTAATCATTATGTGCAAGAAAATTTAATGGAATTTGTATTGTGATTTGAAGTATCAACAAGATATTTGAGGATTACAAGAACATACAATTCTCAAACAACAAAAATAACATCAGAATTTATACCTAAAGTGTTACCTACAAATTAAATCTTAAAATCTTTTAAAGAATCAACAAACTCAGTTTTTATCTGACAAATCCATGAAAGATTGTTATTTATAAGCTCAACAGGGTCCCAAACTTTCATGATTCTCCAATATTCATTTATTCAGTAAATGTAAATAATTACTACACTAATAAGCAATAACAGTCAATAACAAATCAAGACAAATCCTGCTTTAAAGAATGATAAAAACAGACTCTCAGAAAGATCTGTAAATCTTGGTGTCTGAATCAAATTTCAACTAACAAATCTGTAATAAAAAGTGCAGGCAGCAATGAAACTTGAGAAAATAGAACAAGTTTTCAATTCAGATTTTAGGTTTATATCCCAACTCTATACCTTACAAGCTATGGAAATCAGGCAATTTAACTTCTGTTTATTCTAATTCTTTGTCAATAAAATGGAGCTATTGCTACCTGTCTTAAAAGAGTTACTAAACTTATAGGACAATAGCTAGCGTAAAGAAATAAATGTCAGTTCTCTTTCACACCTAACACTGAAAAGGCCACTACAAGATTAGAGATCTGTGGGAGTAAAAGGACTGTTGGATTTTACCCACTTTCAGCATCAGTTTTAACACTGAGTGTTGAAGGCAGTGTGATCTGTCCAAATTACCCAACTGCTTTAGTGGCTACCTAGTGTTCTTTTCCACTATGTCACAGATTCAAAGGCTTTTGAAAACCAAATAAACTAGAAAACAAACATGAATCCAATGAGTACAAATTTGTATCTTTAAATCAATTTTAAAAAAATTAAATTAAGCTCATATTTAATAAATGCTAAATTCTTACTTTAAAACTCAAACTTTAATAACAGCTAAAAAATTTACCTAAAGTGTTTCTAAATTTCCCATGTAATATTAAACAAAAATAATAAATATAAAAGTTAGTGGTCTTGAAATTGAAATGTGATTATTACTCTGCTGAATACAATTATATTCAAAAAGCCTTTAAAAGTAAAGCATGGTTCAAAATCACCTTTCTGGCTCCCAAAATAGTGCCCTGGGCACTTGGTCTGTATTATTTTATTTGGTTTTCTAAATACCTTCTAAACTTCCAAAAGTAAAAACTATTTTACTAAAACAGATTCTAAAGCGGTGTCCTGGAGAGAGGACAAGAGAACGGAGGTGTTTCTCTAATACAGCTATAAGTCTGCAAGTACCACATGGTCTATGTATGAAATCACAATTAGACTGCTCTGACAATACTAGAGGAAGAGAATGCTGGTTTACCTTTCAAGTCTGTGTTTTGAACTCAAAATGTCCTAAAGGTAGAACAGCCCAGAGATATCTTCCAGTCTCTGAGTGTATTCTTTTACAAAGTCCTTATATATATGAGACTCATTCAAATTTTTCAGAAATTCCACCACAGCTCAAAAATGGCTTTCCTGATGATTTGTACGACTTTTATGAACACCTAAAAACTATGACAAACGAGAAGGGTCAGTAACAATCTTACTTTCGTCTGATGTGTCAATCACTATACTTAAGTCCTTTTAAGAATAGGGCTATTCGCTACCATTCGTACCCCCAAACCTGTAAGCAGCCTCTGCTTGGCTCACCAGATCAAACATCGTGTGATCACCTCCTCAGGTCAACAGTACTAGCAAGGGAGTAACGAGAGCTGGGAACAGAGGCGAAGACTCACCCAGCCTACCTGATTAAAAGGAAGTAAACCCCAACAGCCGTAGTCCCACCGTCCGCAGGTCCACGCCAAGCCTCTTCCCCTGCACACGCATCTCCCACAAAGCCCCGCCGAGGTTCGGGGTCCCACGGCTGACATACTTCCCGTCCACAACTCCCAGCCCTTGGGAACATCGACGCCCCAAACCCTAACTTCTCGCCCCACACTCGCTCAGCCCCGAAGCCTCCAGGGCTTCTCCCTTCTGCTGCCCTCCGGACTCCCGAGCCCGCCCAGCCTCTCCTCGCACTCCTCCACGCCCCCGAAGACCTCACCCCTCCACAGCAGGCTCCCCCGCCTCCAGCCCCGAGGCCCGGCCCAGGCATGTGGGGCAGGCACCTCCTCTGCCGCCCCTCACGCCAGCCTCGGCCCGGCCGAGAGCCTCCCCATCCTGAGCAGACCCTCGGGGCAAGGGGTCTGGGGAGGACGACATCCGACCCGCTCGTCCCTCCACGGCTCGCCGCCCCCGAGAGCTGGAGTGCGGAGCCGCCTGTCGGGTTCCGCAGGGAGTAGGAGCCCAGGCCGGTACCCCCCGGCGCCGGACCTCCCCTACCGCGGGAGCGGAGGGGAAAGAGGCTCCCCGGGACTCACCTGGAGCCTGTTGTCAACATTAGCCCCGGGTTTCCCAGCACCAACTCCAGCGCTCCGGCTCTCCCCTCCCCTCCCCCCACCTCTCTCGCAGCCGAGGGCCCGCCTTCCCTCAGCTCCCCCTCCTCCCTCCGCCCGTCGGCTCTCCCGCCCGCCACTCACCAACGCGGCCGGGCTGCCGGGGGGCGGGGCGACGGGAGGGGGGGAACAGGGGAAGGCTGGCCGCGCTGCTGTCCAACCCAAAGTGACCCCGTCCCCGGTCCTCGCGGCGTGTTCAGCCCCTCGTCTTGGCGCCGAAGCGGTAACTAGAGACCGGATATTAAATGTGTGCTACGCACTTCAGTGACCCGTTCAAATTCCCCTATCGGTGGGTTTTTTTAACACAGGCAGTGAACAGGACAACTACTACCAGAACCTGCAGTCAGGGCCCCAGCGGAGGGGAGGAGCGTGTTGAGGACCGGAGGCGGGAAGTGGATTGGTCGTCAGGAAAGGGAAAGCGCCTGAATTGGAGGTGCGCATGCGCAAGCGCTACGCAGGTTTGCCGGGGGGAGAGCGGGGAATGGGGAGGGGCGGAACTAAAAGGAGGCGAAGAAGAGTGGTAGGCTAGTAGAATTACGGAGCGCGGTTGAGGACACGTTTGGTTGCTTGACTCTCAGAAGAGTTTTTCCGGTGCCAAAGTAGTGAAGGGGCTCAAGGAGGCAAAGTTTGATTGCACTAATGCCGAAAGGTTGGAAACTGGAGAAGGTAGAGTAAGGCTATGAGGAAGGTAGAGGTTGCTTAAGACTAGGCTGAAAGTCTCGTGGGGGAATTCTCAGAACCCGTTTCAGCTGTGTTGGAGCTGACAAACAGTCCCAGTGGAGAGCAATCAAAGCTTCTTCCATATGGTTCTTAGGAAGACCTCTATTGTAAGGATTTTAAATTTTACAGTGGAATGGGGTCGCCCCTTTCGAAAGGGTTACGAACTTGAACCAAACTGACTTTGAAATGAGTTATCAGCTGGATGTAATGTGCGTCTGACCTCCGTTTTGTTTGTTTGTTTGTTTGTTTGTTTTGTTTTGAAATTGTGACCTGCCTCGATGGGCACATGATTCCGCTCCCGCTGGCCTGCAGCCGAAGGAACAAAGGTGCAAAACGAGCCTGGATTCTTGCTTGACATGAGGAGCCTCATCAGTGTACAATGATTTGCTACCAACCTCAAGTACTTAAGATGTCTACGCTCCTTTTTATTCAGCCTTTACCCATTTGCTTTCTCTCCACCCCACTTCATTATTAGCTAGTAAATTCTCTTTCAATTTGTGCACTTCGTGTGTGTGTGTGTGTGTGTGTGTGTGTTTCTTGTTCAAAGGAACCAATAAATCAATCACAGAAAGGGTACCTAAAGAGAGAAAGGTGAATACTGCCATTCTGTACCATTGAGAATTTTTCCTTTGACACCACACAAGTGAGGACCACTTAACAGTTCTCCAATTTCCTTTTCTTATTTTGTCTCACTGTCTTATTCTGCTCTTGATCAGGTATGGTGGTTCACATATGTAATCCCAGCACCCGAGAGGCTGAAGCAGGAGGATTGCCACAAGTTAGAGGCCAGCCTGGCACACATAGTAAAATCCTATCTCAAAACAAACAAAAAGTATTTATTTCTTAGGCTTGGGGATATAGCTTAGAGTATTGCCTTACCTTGCCTGAAGCCCTGGGCTCTAACAGGACCCCAGTTAAAAACTGAGAAAAATATAAGGCTGGCAAGATGGCTCAGTAGTTAGAGTCACAGTAGTTAAATTCACATCTTGCTTTTGCAGGTGTCTGGGTTCAGTATCCAACCATATGTTAGTTCATGACCAGCCAACTGTAACTCCAGTTCCAGGGACTCTGACGTCTGCAGTGTGCATATATACATCCAGGCACACAGACATACAAAATAATTTTTAAACTTTTCTTAAAAGGAAGAAAAAAAAAAAAAGATTTACCCCTGTGTCAATGAAAGTTCTCATCCTAAACAAGTCTTGTTAACAGATGTTACTAGGAAACCTTGAAAACAGCAGGATCAAAACAGAGGAACTAAGGTAGAGCTCAATGGTGGAGCATTTGCTTAGCATGCAAACAACCCTGAGCCTGCTTCTCAGCACCAAACCATATTCTAATACACTAAAGCCTGGGTTATTCAGGTAGATATAATTAAGTGAACAGTTGGAACATGGGACAGCATTCTGCCCAAGAAAAGAACATTTAATCAACCTAAGCATTAGAATGCTGCTCCATTTACATCTTCTACAAATCTGTTTTAAGCTCAGCATAAATCAAAACTATTTCAACCACCTACCCTACTAAACAACATAGCTTAGCAACACATTGTGCTTAGATCATTAGTTGTTACTTCTCGTGCACACTTACAGAGCCACCTGGGAACTGCAGCTGTCTAGCATCCAGGCCAAAGTTTGCCATCTCAAGGCAAAAAATCAAATTCAAAATGTTGAGTTTCTACCAAATATAAGTTTACTTTTGTACCACCATAAGAAAAATCCTAAGGTGAACTGTAGTTACATACGGGACCATTCGTACAACCATAAGAATGGGTTAAGATTGCCAAAGAAGTAGAAGGCTCAGGACTAGTCTCAGGGAACCATCTCAATATATTACAGTTGGGTGCATAAATGAGAGATGAATGAGAAAAAGGAAAACCAGTAAGAGTGTTGGGGTCATGAAAGGCAAAGGAAGAGATGTTTCAGGGAGGGAAAGTGAGTAACTATCAGTGTCACTAAGAAAACAGACTACAGACTTGTAAGTGCAGATTAATAAAATGATGAGATTGTATTAGGATAGTTGACGACTAAGTTGGAGGTGGAGAAAGAAATTGGTGGATATTTGGGAAATTTTACAGAGAAGATCAGCAGAAAAATACAGTCATGAGAGACTGGGATTTTGTTGGATTTTTGTATCCCAGTGTTGGGCTCAAGTGTAGTGTCATGCACATTCTAGGTAAGAACTACCACAAAACTACACCCTGTCAGTTTGTAGGTTCCCCCCCCCCCCGTGTGTATGCTTAAATGAGAAATGTAGAATATGTTGTACATGATAATGATCCAATAGGGAAGAAAATAGTTGATGATATAGAAAAGAGCAAAAAGGCCACTGTAGGGACAAACTCCTTGTGGCATGAAGACACAGACTTGGGAGTGTAAGAGAAAATGATGCCTTGAGTTGAAGCAGAGGCATTTCAATGTTAGAAGACAATAGATACTTGTAAAAGTAAGTTGGTAGATTAGGAGGGAAACTAGAAAAAATTCCCTTGATCTTTTTCTGAATGTGTGTGAGCGTACATGCGAAGGTCCAAAGTTGATATCAAATGTCTTCCTGAATCATTCTCCACCCAATTTTTTGAAACAGGGCTCTCACTAAAACTGTAACTTGTTAACTTGGCTATTCCTGGCCAACCAGCCCAGGAATCCTGTCTCCGCCTTCCTGTTCCTGAGGTTAAGGCATTCACCCTACCCAGTTCTTACATAGGTGCTGGGATCATAGCTAAGCACCTATGCTTTTGCAGCAAGCATTTTACTGAGATTCCTCAATCTGCTCATGTTTTTTCTTTCTTTCCTTCGTTCCTTCTTTCTTTCTTTTTTCTTCCTTCTTTCCTTCCTTTCTTTCCTTTTTCTTCTTCACATCCTCTTCCTCTTTCCGTTTTGGCAGTTGTTCAGGGCCAAAACCATAGCCTCATGTATGCCAGAGATTCTCATTTAGTGATAAAATTAAAGCAAAATCATCTGCTAAGAGGAGGGGTGAGGGATGAGAGTTGGGAAATTTGAAATGAGAGAGCATGTGAAAGACTTTAAAGAACTCAAGCTACTTGAATTTTATGATCATTAATTTGAAGGAAAATCAACAAGACCTCATATGACAATTTTTTTCTGGAAGAGATGGACAGGTAGTTTACTTGTGGCTGAGAGCTTTGTCTTCATCTCTCAGGAAAGGAATGCCAGAGGAAGAAACCATAAAGGGAAATGAAAATGTTTGCAAGAGAAGGGTTAAAATTATGGTCACCGAATTGAAACTAAGTGAGGAGGAAAGAGAAGCCAGGTGAAGAATGTGTGAGAGTGTGTATAGGGTTAACTGGCTGATGGGAGTAGACATTGCAGAGAAGACAGAAAAGGACTCTAAACTGGAGTGAATTCAGTATGGAAGAAAACTGGTTGGGGAACAGTGATGGAAAATAATGAATATGCAACTGTCCTGGTTTCAATATTGGTGTCTGTCTGAACCAGAACTAAGTATGTAATCAAGTTTTGAGGGTTTTGATTGTTTTGTTGTTTCTTTCCATGGATTGGATCAAACCCAGAGTCTTAACACATGCCACTGGAGGGTCCTACATTGAGCTACACTGTAGCACAATTTAATTAAGCTGGCTTAAATTATGTGTAGTTTTTTGTTAAAAGTCATAATAATATCTGGGCACAGTGGTGCAGACCTCGATTCCTATCACCTAGGAGAATGAAGAAGGAAAATGGAGAGCTTGAGTCTTGCTTGGGTTACATAACAAGACCATGCCTTAAAGAAAGAGAGAGAGAAGAAGGACAGGAGAAAGAAAAACGAGATTCAAATAGCACTTTTTTCCTGGGGTGTTGTAAACAGTAAAAGGTGGGGATCTAACTAAAGCCACTTAACTCCAGTGCTAAGAGCACGTGCCTGATGAGCACCCACTATGCTAAATCATGCTGCAAACAATAAATGCACTCCAAATGGCTTTGCAATTTGAACAATAGTACTGTAACCTTCCCCACTTTCTTTGTCTTCGAACTGCTTAGAAACCAGTGCACCTGAATCTCTTTACCCCAATACTAGGAATCCCTGTCAAGATAATGAATTTCAAGATGAAGATTGAAATGAAAGGGCAGGGTGGGGAGGAAGAGTTTTCTCAGCTATTGAAACCAGCAATGACAGAGGCATGTAAATGTAATCATCTGTTCTAATTGCTAGTGTTATTAAATTTTGATTTGCAGAATAACCAGTACACAGTATCCTCTAGAGAAGCAAATGTGTAAGGTAACAAAGCAGAAAGCCAATTCAATGCAATTATCTGCCATCTAATTGTTCTTCACTATTAGACTTTTCTTCCTTTTTTTTTTTTTTTTTTTTTTTTTTTTTTTGGAGGCATGGGCTGGGGCATCTGTGTGAATTCAAGACCAGCCTGCTCTACAAAGTGAGTTCCAGGACAGCCAAGACTACATATATAAACCCTGTTTAAAGAAACAAAAGAGAAAAGAAAAAAGACAAAACAAAATTTTTCTGTGTAACATTCGCTGGCCTCATCTTGTCTCTTTCCTTCCTTCCTTCCTTCCTTCCTTCCTTCCTTCCTTCCTTCCTTCCTTCCTTCCATTCTTTCTGTTGTTGTTTGTTTCTCAAGATAGGGTTTCTCTGTGTAGCCTTAGCTGTCCTGGATCTCACTCTGTAGACCAGGCTGGCCTTGCACTCTCATAGATCCCCCTACCTCTGCCTTTCAAGTGCTGGGATTTAAAGGTATGCACCATCACCACCCAGCACTAGCTGTAGTTCTGAGTCCCTGGTGTAGGGTATCTGTGATGAAATAATCACACATAATTAAGAACTAAAATTTCCAAAACAATTGAATACTGGTCCCTATCACATTACATGTGTGTGTGTATGTGTATATGTGTGGGTATGTAGGACATTTTATTCTCTACAAAGTGATGTGTGGTAAGGCTTGGGCTAATGTCAACATATGTACAGAACTGAATAAATTAGATCTCGCAGACATCTGATTTGCCTTGGTTTGAAAAAGGAGATGGCCAGAAATGGATGTTACATACAGAGATATGTTCAGTGCTGGTTCTGGAATGGAGTGGACATAGGGCTTGAGGTGTGGGGAGATAAGGAACACTCTGGTCACTTCCAGGCTAGAGATGTTTACCAGGCTTGAAGGGCTCTCTGTATCATGCCTCACTGATAGCTCCCCAACCCAGTGCAATCCTGGTGCACGAAGGCATCATTCTTCTCACCAGATTTATCTGTTCCGTGCCTGCTCAGTGCTAAAACTTCCTATGTATCTTCACTGTCCCTCTAATGGCGAGGCTGATGATGAAGCTCTAGGGCCTAGATCCTGGTGTTGGATGTCACCAACTATAAGACCAAATATACCTTCCTCGGTCACTGCTGCCATTTCCGCATCTTGTCAATGATCTTGTTTGTAGGGCAGGGCTGGTGAGAGCAGCCTGCTAAGCTTGCCCCTGTTTCCTCCAGACCCTCCTTGAATTCTTTACTGCTGCACTCCCAGTACTTTCTGTAGGGCTCAAA